TAATATACCTTCATACCGTGTACATTGTAACATACCCATAATAGACCCATATTTTGTACCCTCATACCTATAATAGTATAATAATAATAATATATCTATATATCTATATTATTGCTAAAGCACTTTCTGGATGGATGCAAACTGCATTTCGTTGCCTTGTAATTGTGACATGTGCAATGACAATAAAGTTGAATTCTATTCTATTTTATTCTATTCTATTACCATTGAAAAAAATATCATGTTCTCCCTGTATTTAAATCTGAGAAATGATATGAGTGTTATGACAAGTGTTAGGTAAAGAAGGACATAGGGGAAGTAATGTCATACTTTACATTGACTATAGAGAATATGAGTTCTAGGAGTTGTAGATCTGCAGCAAAAATGAGTAGTTGTAAAAACGTGAAAACATAATTACAATTTAAATGGGTGGTTTCCCTGGTAAAATCTGTCCTCCTGGGAACAATGGATGCAGAGAAAAGGTTCCACAAAAGTACTTGTAGGGGAGTAGTTGTTACTAATGTCACTCTAGTTCTATGAGTAAGTTTGTGAAAGTGCAGACTTTTAACTTTAATTCAAGGAGTTTTACAAAAATGAAATATGCATTAACTGTTTAGGGAATCAAGGCCTTTATACAGTAAAATTCCTGCAAATATTTTGTGTGTGAAAAATATATTTGGACTCATATTCTTGATGCAGCCATTCACACGAACCACATAATTTATTTGCTTTTGCAGTATTCTTTGAGTCATCATATTATTTGCACTATGAGATGCTGTCTGATCAGTTGTGGAATGTTTGGCTGAATTTGAGCAGAACGTGTAGCCCTGACACTTTGCAGTTCATCCTGCAGCTTCTATCAGCGGTCACGTCGTCTATAAACACTAGTGACCTGCTTCCAGTGGGAGCACAGGCCCATACCATAACACTTCCTCTGCTATGTTTGACAGCTGATGTGGTATGTTTCAGAACACAAGTCTTTTACCAAACTTTTCTCTTCCCATCATTCTGGTACAAGTTCATCTTCATGTTATCTGTTCAAAGATTATTTATTTTCCTTTACAGGACTGTGCAGGCTCTTCTATATGTTTTCTGGTAAAGCCTAATTTGGCCTTATTCTTGAACTAACTAACTAACTAACTAACTAACTACTGATTTTTGCACATGTTGTAAACTGTATTTATGTTTATGAAAGAGTCTCTTGATTGTAGACTTTGATTATTCATGCAAATATATCATGTATATTGTATTTTTAATGCAGCCGTTCACACCGATCGGCTAATTTTACAGGATAAATTTGTAGCATTTATTTTTTCAGGCTGACCAATCAGACCACAACTGTGCTCCGGGTCAATTGGCTCTCTGAAATAATTTTTCTGCCTCCTCAGATGTGGTCTTAACTCTGCCAACAAGAGTTCAAACTCCTCCTCTCACATCCTGAAATATGTATAAAAGCAACTGTGATAAAACTTCAACTCCTGGATCAAACGATGAAATTCTCCCTGCTGCGGTTTTCTCCTGACAGGCACATGAACTCATATTTTCCATTTTTTCTGTTTGTTGTTTAGAAACATCAGGACCAGCTTATCATCGCCTGATGTTGACTCCAAAAGCTGCTTTGAGAACCCTTTTGACTGGGTTTGCAGCATGTTTTAAAACATTATATTATTTGCGTTATAAAGCTTTTTCTAATCGGTTCTGCAGTATATTTCTGGATCTGAGCAGAGAGATTTTAAATTGGTTAGATTTTAAGGATTTCCTTCTTAACCATGGAAATAATTCTGTGATCATCCACTTTAGTTGTCTTCTGTGGTCTTTCAGGTCTTTTGGTATCGCTCAGCTGCTCAACCAGACTGTTGATTTAGCAGCTGAAGGGTTTAATTTTGGTTGTTCAGCCTAATGATGGCCTCCTTTGTTTGTACTGCCATCTTTTTGGATTTGCTTACTGAGAGCTCCAGTAAGCAAATAACAAATACAAGATAATGGGCTTCACGTGGCCATGCAACTGCCTCTCAATGAGTTACTGTTGAGACTGAAAATTGACTGTAATTCTTAAATAGTTATTGCGATTTTGTTATTTTAATCTGTTAAAGTGTTTTTTGTTCCACCCCTTGAATTATAAAAAACATAGAAAGAATTATCCAAAAACCAATCGACCTAACTGTGTGTAATGTGCACAAAAATAAAAACAGATTTGTACAAGACCAGCTGTGATGCAGCTTTAAGGGAGAGATCTGCACTGCATGAGGCCTTCAAATGAGAAACTAATGAAGCACATTAGCAAAACAAACACATGAAAACACACACAATCGAAAAAAGAAAATGTGCACAGGGGACAGCAGTGGCTTTAGTTTCATGTGCAAAGGCTGGATGCAATTATATGTCACCAGCAGGTCTTTGGAAAAAATAAGTTTCTCTGAAACCACTATTGTTTACTAGTTACTCTTCTTGCCAGTTTCACAAAGCTTTGTGCAGAACCTGCTATATGCTGTAGGCTTTTCTTCTTGTATAACCTACTACAGTTCAGTTTATCTCCATCTGTGTGAACCATCGTGCTGAACCTGTCAGTGTAAACACTGATCTAAAAAATGCTGCATACGTGGGGCTTCTTGGTCCCTGCTGAATCCTCAGACAGACCGAGGCTGTGCTGCTGCTGCTGCCAAGAGACCTGTTGTAAGAGACTGCAGAGGCTATAAATAGCTCAGCCCTGTCTTTCTCACAGGCACCACCCACTACATAACCCATGTGACACAACAGCAGCACAAAGCAAAACAGTTCAGCGCCGCTGCACACTGAGCCACTGAGAGGGGAGTGGAACAACATGTGCTGATGTAGGGCTCTTTAAAGAGAGAGAGCTGCTTTAATGACATCTCTTTGTCTGTAGAGACAGCATAACATTTTTATGCATGCATTTTAACATTAGTGAATTTAGGCTAAGGTGTCCTCTAAGCTTTATTGCCATGGTAACAACTAATGCTAATAATAAAAAGTGACTCTTTGTCATTTCAACAATAATGTTGAACAACCTTTAAGAGGACAGTTTAAAGGCTTTTGGAAAGTTCATTTATTAAATGTGCTTCACTTGTACATGACATGTTGTTTCTGTCTCAAAGTGGAGATGACCGAAGCGTGCACCAGACAGAAGGGTCACTTCTTTTTGTATAGACACGTTTTAAGATACTCAGAAACATGTTTTGCACGTCTGACGAACGTCTTTGTGCGCACTGCCCTTTGATCTGCTGTTCTGCCCTGATTGTATTCACCGTATTTTTGATTGATCTTTCAGATGTCACGTGTCGCTATGATTAGCTGTGTGCTGCTCTACAGATCCTCAGCCTGTTGCTGTTGTTGTTGCTGCTGCTCAACACTCTCAGCTTACAGGATTTACTGACCTACAAAAGGGTTACTGCTGTTTTGGGCCTGCAGGTTTACAGTCCCTGCTGACTGTAAACAGAGCACACCTGTGGCCTGTCTGCACCTGACTGCAGCTGTGACCGTCACAGAGAGGGGATGCATTTCTGTAGCACACCTGTACACTTTGAAATTAAATAAATGTTTGAATCACCCTCAGCAGACACTTTATTAGATACACCTTGGTAGTAATAGAGACGTTTTTTGCCTTAATTCTTTGTGGCAAAAATTCAGCGAGGTGCTGGAAACAGTCCTCAGAGGTTTTGGTTCATGTTGACATGATAGCATAAAAGAGTTGCTGCAAATCCATCATGTGAATCTCCCGTTCCATCACATCCCAAAAGGGTCTCTCTTGGATTGAGATCTGGTGACTGTGGAGGTTTATTTGAGTACAGTAAACTCACTCATCATCATCTGACCAGTGTTACATGGTGCATTATTATGCAAGAAGCAGCCATAAGAAGATGGTTGGACTGCGGCCATGAAGGAATTGACACGAGCAGCAACAGTACTCATGTAGGGTGTGATGTTTAAATGATGCTCAGTTGGTACTAAGGAGTCCCAAGTGTGCAAAGAAAATAAAAGGATATTTTTACACAGTGAACTGCCGCTTACTGGATATTTGGTTGGAAAAGGAGACCTTTAGGTCTCTATAAACAATAGAGATGGGTGTGTGGGAAAATCCCAGCAGATCAGCAGCTTCTGAAAGACTCAGACTTTAACTATAGTGTTGTGATTAAAAGATGCAAGCAGGGTTTATAACTCAGACATTACCAGCAGAGTTAATGATTATCTGCTGCTGTGAGGTGGTATTGTTTGTATTTTGTTTCTTCCTCAGCGGCAATCAGCTGTACTGTAGTTAGGAGCATTTAAGGCTCTTATGAGGAGACGCGTTTGATCCTGGAGCAGCCCAGATTGGGGATTTATGTAATCTCAGCACAGTGGTTTTAGATTACACCGATTCATTTACTCACAAGTCCCGCAGCGCCTCCAACCATATCTCGGTGCGGTGGGGGAGGGTGTGGCTCAGGCTGATTCATTAGCAGTTTTTCCTCTTTTGTCTTTCATTGGCCAGAAAATCTAGGCAAAGGTGAGTGCCAACAAAGCACTTTAAAAAATACTCGAGTCAATCCTTTTACTGGAAAACAGTCCAACCCAACCCCTGCTCCTGAAAAAGAAAAATCAATTAGCTGCATTAGGATTTCAAATCTGATCCAACGCACATGAAGGGGTTATTGCTTCTGTAAAAGATGGTTATTGAGCCTACACCCGCTGCACCCTCCCACCACTGCGCTCTCATGCACATAAGGATGCCATTGTTTGCACTTGTCTGCACGTCATCTCCACCAGCTATTCACTTATTTCTTGGAAATCCTCAAAATCTGCCCAGCGACCACCGCGTTATCAGGTAAAAGGATTAACGGAGCAAAGACTAAAGTAATTTATCAATCAGTGACTGTTGTGCAACGTTGACGTCTTCCAAGAATACTAACATTTCTCAAAACTGTGCTCTTTACAGGCTTTGGTTTGTTCCCCAGAACTAAGATCCAACGAGGGAAAGAAGGAGACGCAGTCACGCCATGGTCTGTATTAATGAGCTGAAATATTTATTTTTAAAAACTGAAAAAATAAAAACAAACCCACCAACATAGTTTTAGTATATTATACAAAGACATATTTCAATGTTGCTATGTGAGTATCTGTTTCTCTCTGACTACAGTGTGAGGCAGTTTGAAAGGCTGGCTGAGCTGGTAGGACTAAACAGACATGAACCAGAGAGAGAGCCAAAGAGGGAGAGAGAGAGGTTAATAAAAAGGTAATTTGGGCAAAATAAAATAAAATAAAACCCAAAATATCACTCGAGGTGCAATCCAGTCTTTCAAGACACTTGGAAAAAAAATCCATACAAAGAAAATGCTCCTTTCTTTTATGGAGGTTTTCTTCTTCTACTGAAGTCCAGATGTGTTGTCCAGATGTGGAAGAAGTGACAGACTACAGCTAAAAATCATTTAGTACAAAAAGACCTGGACTCAATAGCACTGCAGATAATACTTCTTATTATTATTGGCAAATACTATTCGACCAGCAGCTGTTAAATTACCCAGTGTCACAACCTTTTAGAGATATGCAGCTGAAGCGGAGCGTCCAAAACTAAAGTACGTTAAGACACAGAGAGACAAACCCCCACCACCACCAACCGCGGGTCATCGAATAGAAAGAAGGTAAGTAACGTGTTGAGGGTTGAAAATAAACGCCTGCTCGTCTCAGGTTTCAGAGTCCAAACGGCAGCTCGTCGGGTTCAGCAGGAAGTTAGGAAACTAACTGTTTTGTTTAAGTTAAACCGAATCCTTAAAAGCAAGCAAAATATTATTTCCAACAACAGGAGGCTTGTAGTTTATGTCCACAGCTACTTGGTCTTTAGGAAGCTATTGAAAAAACACTGCAGTTTGCTTTCGTCCCAGACCCCGTGATCCCTCTGTCACTCAGAGAAGGAATTCAGGGAAAATAACGGCAGTCGGTCCCCCGCTGTGCGTGGTGAGAGGCTGGGTCATGTGATCAAACCGGGCTGATCTAAAGGTTTGTGCAGTGGGAATGGCCTCGAGTCCTCGTTTAAGTCTGACTTCAAGAAAGTTCAAAGTTCTCATGGATATTTCTTCTCCTGCTGATTTATTGGGCTAAGCTTGTGACGAGACAGCAGAGGAGGGTCTCTGTCTTTACTGAACCGAGGAGCAAAACTTGTGTTTAGATGAAGAGAAAAAGACATCAGAACGAGCTCTATATTAAGAAAAATAACGATAATAAAGAGGGCTGCCTCTCGCTACCCTGTTCCCCAGTTTAACCAGTATAAGAAGGAAAATCTGAAAAATCAGACCCATGTTATTAGTGTTTTCAGCAAACCTGCTCATCTAAACCTTCCCCTGATGCACGGCTACCTCCAATGATGTAGCATGAGGTAGTTCACAGGGACCGTGTGTGTGTGTGTGTGTGTGTGTGTGTGTGTGTGTGCTACTTTGCAACCCTACCCTCCTGCACATGGACCGTTCTATTTGAACACTTATTAAAATAAAGACCAAAAATCAGGGGTGTGTCTGTGTGTGTGGGAGGGGTCGGTGTTTAAGTTAACAGTCATGGTCGTTACAATGGTGAGGAGGTGAAAGGCAGAAAGTCCAGCGAAGCGGACTCAATAAGGTGAGAATTCACAGTGAGAAAAAAAGAAGCGTCTCGGGCTCCCGCGGTTTCACGCGCAGGACAAAAACATCTGTTTTTAAATGGGAGAGCACGCCGTCTATGTTACGGAGACACGAATGTGGGCTGGGTGGACTCATCTCCCCCCCCCCGTCCTGCTCCTCAGAGTTCGGCCTTTGTGCGGTGCGTCCCGGGATGACGAGTAGAACTTGTGCAGCGAGGAGGGAAACGACAATAAGAGACCTCGCCGCTGAGTTTTCCCAACACAGTCCAGGAGGAGGAGCGGGGGGGAAGGCCGCGAAGCCGGGCTGTGGGTCGTCTTTCACACCGTTCCTCGTGTGCACGTGTTCGTCCCTCCGATACCACTAACACCCCCACCCATCCTCCGCTGTTGCTGAGCCCTTGGTGCTGTCCTTTATGGAAGCTTCGGGACATGGGTGGAGAAGCGGGTTTAGAAAAGAAGCACCTTTTCATTTGGCTTGGATAACAGACAAACAAATAATAATTAAAAAAATAACAAGGGAGAAGAAAGGCTGAAAAGTGTGTCTATAAATAGAAAGAGGCAGACAGAAGCCGGTCTTCTGGGTTGAGGAGGAGTGGGGTGACGACACCGGTGGCGGGGATCAGCCTGTGCCTGTGGAGGACGAGGAGGAGACAGATTTTAAGTGTTTTTGTTGCTACGGTTTTTTTTTTAAACAGTGCATAAATTGTAACGCGGGTGCCCACCCTCTTCATCCTCGCCCCAGCCTTCTGCTACGCCGGCCAGTTCGTAATGCTTCTTCCTCAGCTCGCCGAGACGCTCTCGCTCCTTCTGCAGACGGGTCTCCAGCTCCAGAACCAGGACCTGTGGAGACGCCGACACGTTCACAGGACTGTTAATCACTTTCCCCTCTCAAATCCTGGAAAACTAAAAACTATAAACAGATCGGCTCGAAGCTGAACAAACAAGGGAGAAGACGACCTTTCATCGAGCAACAGCTGATGATTTATTACGCTGCCAGCGTGGATTTATGGGTGTCACGGCGTGATACAGATACAGCTGGTTTAACTTTTCTCAAACACGGAAAATCCAACTGTCATCCAGGCTGAATTATGTCAGGCTCGTGTGTTTGTGTGTGAGTGAGAGAAAACCTTCTAAACAACCAGATGAAAGCTGTTGTTTAACCAGGTCTGACTTAAACTAAAACACACATCTTAAAATAGGAGCCCTGTGTGCGTTTCCAACAATGAGCTGTGTGTGTGTCTGTGTGTGTGAGAGAAGGTTCAGAGCTTCCCGTGTTTTTCTTTCAGTGTGGGTGAAGCAAAGCCACAACACAGACTCAAGTGTTCACATGAACCTTGGCTTCACTCACGATGAAAAACGAACCTTCAGAGTCTCGGATCGGCACGCCTACCCGAGCGGCTCGCTCGTTAAAAATAAGACTTTGTGATTATTTTGGGGCCAAAAGGGAGAGACTATTTTTACTCCACGTCCAATGAAAGGCACCTTGTGAAAAGCTTCTCGGATGAAGTTACGGTCACCTCCTGATTTAATTAAGACTGTCGGCTGCTCGCTCACCTGTGCATCCATCTCCTGTCGCTTGATCTGGGTGAGAGTCATGCTGGAGAAGTCCATAGTGTCTAGAAAAGACCGGCATAAATATTTTGTGGTTGTTTTTTTTTGTTTTTTTTGTTTAAGGTAGCAGGAAATAGGAAACTAAAACTCACCTGTCTCTTCAATCTGGGACTTCCCAGACTTAGTGGAGGCCACGACGGCCGCGGTGGCCTGTGTGACGCCGCGGGACGCCTGCTGCAGGCGGTGCAGCTTGGTGCTGTCTTTGTCTGCTTTTACCTGCAGAAGGAGAGCAGCAATAATGCGAGAGACGTGAAATCTTTAACATCTTTCTCTAGAGTTAACTGCTAAAGTAACGTTTTCAGCTTTCTCAAAAAAACTCAACTTCTTTGCTCACCTTGGAAGCAGCCACGAGCTGTGCTGTGCTGGCAGCAATTTCATGTGAGCACACCATCAGCTCCTCAAACTTCCCTTTGCCCTGAACCACCAGGTCAGCAGCATCCCTGCAACAACAACACAGTGCAAAACAAACTCAAGGGAAGCTCTGATTTTAATTTAAAGCTAGAAAGGAAGTGGAAACAGGTGGAATTGTTGTATTTTCAACAATTCCACTTGTTGAAAATACAACACTTTAAGCAGAGAGCGCAGCTCATCCTGGGAAACACTGACTCAGCTAACAGAGTCTGTACCAACGCCACATCTAGGAGGTTGCTTGGATGCCTGAACAATTTCACTTTGCTCCTTTTCTGCTTTGAACGACTGCCCGACCTAATCCCATCTCTAAGTGTGCGCCCAGGAACGCTTCAGAGGAAGCAGTCTGCATCTGCGATGTCATCTTCCCTGTCACTAGCCAGAGCTCCTGGGCATCACGCTCAGAAGAAACTAAAACTTTGTAAATAACCTCACAAGCCTTAAAGTGTTCGCTTTATCAATCTTCTTCTAAAAAAAGTTTCCTCTTTGCTCATCATCATCATCATCATCATCAACAACTTTCCCACAGCAAGCACTCAGCCTTCAAGCACTTTAATACTTTGCTGTGAGGAAGACTCACAGAGGAGAGGAAGGCTACTTACACCATGACTGTAGCGCCCCATCCCACCGCTTTGGAGGCAGAGATCAGGCCCTCGGTCCAGCGTGAGTTCTTGGCATAAAATTCCTTCATGGAGGCTGCCCCCTGGTGGACAAACACCAAACATGTTTAAATTAGATGTTAGATATTGGGTTTATTTAAACTATGCTAAAATACCAGTAACATAAAGCTGCAGTGTGACTCACCCTTCCACTCTCCACGATGTCTCTTTGCAGATCTTTGGAAGACAAAATAAGCTCCTTGATGGCCTGCATGAGCTCTGTGCAGGAGGCCAAGATCCTGCAGAGGGCGACAGAGCAGAAGACAATCACTGCCTGCAGCTCTCCAGCTCAAGCAAGCCTGATGTAGCTCAGAAGCTGTACCTGCAGATATCTTGAACGCAGCTTGTAGCGATAGCTAATGCACGACTGATGCACCACTGACCCAAATCCTCAGTGCAGTTTGTGTGTTTTGTTTTGGTTACAGCTGTAGTGGCTGTTTGTTCCTCTGCATGATCATCTCCCACAGCAGCTACAGATTAAACACTTTTTTCCTCTTTTACATGAATAATTAAGTCACCCTGAGAGTTAAGAGAAAGTTTAATTAGCTTAATGTGCACACAGAGTTAATACACAGCCTGGATGAATACCAGAGAAACCTAATCAACCCGATCTTTTTTTATTGTGGGTCCGACAAACGGCCGACGTTTATTTAATGAGGCTGAAAAGACAGAATACTGCATTGAAGACAAGTGGCAGGCTGGCTTCAAATGTCAAGCTTTGTCCTGGTTTTGTGGTTGAATTTATGAAACTCTTCACACATCAGCACTCAGCAGGTGACTATCCGACATCTCGCGGTTGATGAAAACCATCTCCCTTTCCTTTCCCGCTTCATTTCCTCAGATTGCGCACATCAGAATGCAAACAGATACCTGCAGGCTTGTGTCTGTGTTATTTATTCAAAATGAGATGGAGGAGTTCGCCGCTCTCTTAGGAACACTCGCCTCTGCCAAGGAGGCAAAACGCTACCAAAAAACACAACATTTGCACATTTTTGGTAATGTTTGTATGCGTCGTGTGTGTCATTCTGACACTTTGTAGTGGTGTAGAGTGAGGTCATGTTAACGATCCATTAAAATTTAGCTCACATCTTCAAAGTTCACTTAAACATTTATTGGTGGAAAATTAACAAAAAGCCTCCAATTTAGAAACTATGATTCTTACAAGTGTGGGGTGTATCGTCAACGTATTGTGTCACATTTGACCTCTGACCTCTCCATCAAAATGTGTTATATCTATAAAGAAAGTATTTTCAGGAAATATACTGTAGTATCATGTTATATAGTGACTTCTAGTTATTTACAGCACTATTCCCTTGAAGGTAAACACTGCTTTGGTGAAGGTTTGTGGAGAGCTTCTTGTTGTTGAAGAAGATGCTGAGTTAGTTTTTGGAGATGACTCAACTTCTTCTAAAGTTCAAAAGCATTTTGCTGCTGTGCAGGAAAGAGAAACCAAAACAAAACCACCGGAAGTTAAAAAGCTTGAGGTTGAAGTTTGTTTCTAATTAGAGGTAAAATGTGGTGTTGTTGTCTGTGCTATGTTTGGCAGGTCTATATCAGAGCTTCAGTGCACTGTGTGACTGTTTGCTTTAGGAGGAGGGTGCTGCCTGGTTAGAGCGAGGACATTACATGACTCTGAACTCATTTAAAGGTCGCTGAATGTCCGCTCGTCCGAGTTTTACGCTGTTGCATGAGTGTAGAAAGGCTCACGGTTGCAGCTGCTTTAAAAGCCAGACAGTCAGTTATCTTTGGAAACCCACATTTAACTAAAAATGATGTTATAGGAAAAAGATAATCTGCTCAGCTTCCGTGCGGTGCCCCCCCTCCAAAAAAAACAAGTCCTAATCTGAGCATTACCTCTCGTTGACCTCCATCTTGATTCCTGTATCAACTGCTCGAGAATTGTTGAGCATTTCCTGTTGGAGCGCACAGAGGAGCATAAGGGGGGGAGAAGAGTGAGAGGTTAATACTGCTGCAAAGTCAAAGAGGGGACAATGTTTTCACACTGGACACTCGCACAAACACCTGGTGCCTGATGACCAAAGTTAAACACCCCTCCCAAACACACTTATGCACCTCTATCCTGGCAGCGGCTGATTCCACAGCGGCAGAAGTGGCAGCCATTTCCTGCTCCACGAGGTCTCCCAGCTCCCCCTGCTGCAGCTCCAAACCCTGAGGACGCAATTTCTGAAACAGCGGAAAGTCAAGTATTCACATTAAGGGAGAAATTAGCCATCGTATCACAAAGCGGCTGCGGAGACAGAGCGACTCTTTATCTCTACCCACCTCTGCCGTGGCCAGGACGGCCTCCAGAGCTGCCTTCAGCTTGCCGCTGTCCGCTGCAGCGAGGCCGTCCTGCTGCTTCATCAGTCCCAGCAGAGCCAAAGCTTCAGCCCCGCACACCTTCACACTCTCTGACAGGGCTGACACACAAAAAGGGGCAGGAAGGATGCACGTGTTATAAATCCACAAACACACACACTAAGTGTTTGAGCTACCAGATTTATACTCTGAACTCTGGGATATGACTGTGCCACAAGCAGCTGAAGCTGGAGTGTTAATTAAACCGATATCTCCTCAGGCGTGTCAACCGCTGCAGACGAACACTCTGACAGGAGGAAGCCAAAATATAACTCTGCAGCACCTGACAGCCAGATGATTTGCTCTAAACCAGGGGTGTCAAACTCATTTTAGTTCAGGGGCCACATGGAGAAAAGTCTATTCTGGTAAAATCATTGTATATATAACTTAAAAACAACAACTTCAGATTGTTTTCTTTGTTTTAATACGATCAACATAAAAATAAATCTAGAGCCTGTGGACAGTATGTTCAAAATAGTACAGGCACAACATAGCTAATAATCATAAAACATCAAGTTATTTGAAAATTCTGAGGACAAA